GCGGGAGTTTTAGCTTCAATTCCCATACGCTCCCCATCTGTGCGTCTCATCCGTTCTGTCATTCTTAATTCTGAATGTTACGTGTTAAGAAATAAATGCGTTTAGTAGCGTCAAGGACTATACACCATTGAAGATGGATAGGTTTACAGCTGTACAGAGTATATTCGAAAACCCACATTTTTCATGCGTATAATCATATCGTTTACAAGAAAACCACCGAAAACGACGAGTGCATTTGGATAATTTTTATGAATTTTTACCTGTCAACATTGACTCATCATCAGACGAATCATCAGAAAGTCCAAACAGCCCCCCTGCGGTAACATATGAAGTAAAAACAGTTAGTCACGGACGAGGATATACAATAAATTAACTAGAACATAAAAATTACACCACACACTCACTCGCTAAACACTGCGGTCAAACCTCTGCGCATGTACGGGCCAATTAGAAATATTCATGGTTTTTGTTCGTATTATTACGTTGAACTCAATTTCTGTAAACTACATTCTTACTTTATACCGTTTTATTTGTAAGAGTTACATACCGAGAACGGAGGCAATCAGCCTAATACATCCCGAGGGCCGTAGGCCCGAGGGATGTATAGGCTGATTGCCGACGTTCGAGGTATGTAACTGGCTTATTTCATACTTGAAGAAGTTTTCCAAGCACTGCATTAATATTTTCATTTTTAAATAGGCAAAGAAGCCGTTTTCATATGAATTAAAAACCAAACCCTCGATTAGAAAGATTACGAAATTTACAGCATTGAAAATTCCCAGCGGGAATAATTTGCATAACCAATTTTCTCGTTAGTCCCATGAGACCAATGCTAACAATACACCTTTTGTAACAAGTAACTGGACAATGTTAAATAACTGTTTTATTCCATAACTGACATCGATTAGTCAGTTAGCATAACGTGTTAAGTATAGGATTTTCAAAGCTAAGGTTGTGGGTTCGAATCTACTTGGTGTCATTTGAWTTTTTATTTCTTTCTTTCAAGTTTAAAGTTTCAGACGGAAAATTTCTAAGTTGAACGTAGTAGTTAATTAGGCATTCAAGGGCAATATACATTAGTATTCAAGGGCAATATATAGATACATCCCTCAAATGGGGGCAATATCTAGATATATCCCTGAAACTTCGATATAAAGCACTTGAATACGCAACGAGCTGGGGAATAAGCGAGATACAACACTATGAATAACAAAGAAAACTGAATCAAGTATGAAATAATTTCAGATAGGTACCTCGAGAACGTACTTTCTTAAGCACTGTCGAAAATCCACGAAATGAAAATTATTTACGAACAATCACCAAGAAGAATCATTTCATCGATACAGTTCCAATTCAGTTGAGCAACAATGTAGACTTGCTTATATTTAAAAAATTGAATTAGGTAAAAACGTTTAGGTTTTTAGTCTTCTTTTAACCTGAGTCGTCTCAGGGTTACGAGGGGGCCTAGGGACAAGAGGAGTGGAAAAAGGAAAACCTCTCCCCTTTTCTTCTCCGTTTTTTTTCCTCGAGAGTCTGATACATAGGTTAGTCTTTTTCTGCATCCTAAAATTCCTTCTGGGGAGRAAAAATGACTCCRCAAAAATGACAACGCACGAGGTCCTTTCTGTTCAGTGCCTAGTACTGCAACTAAATAAGGTTGCAAAAGGATGATCACTCTACGTTAATGTTAAGTCTGGGTCGAACCTTTTTCCTTACCATATTCAATGTTTCAGGAAATAAAATGTATCTCATTTATCTAAAAAGATGGCAAATCTAAAAAACTAAAAGAAGCAGCATAAAATTCATCTTCAACGATTTGCTTCCAACATTCAATTGGATTGAGGGACGATGAAAATAGGTAATGGAAAAGACCGGCAAACTACTAAAATCCGGTTATTAGACACACAGATGACGTTGAAATGTGATGAAAACAAAAAAGTACACCGAATAAGACGAAGCGGAAAAGAAACACTTATAATCCCTGAGATACGCAGTCATTTAAATATCCACAAGCTTTAATTAATATTATTATCTAATCGGATCATAAAACTCAATACGCTATATATCAAATATTACAATGTAATAGTACGTTAGCGAGTGAATACATTTTTTGAATTGTAGACGAACATGGATAAATAAAACATACGTAAAATGGTTTTCGAAACGAATTCGTCGGATCGGCGAGTCTTCCTCATGCTTCCGTTGTGACTGAACAACATATGACAACGAGTCAAATTATAATTATACACAAAATAGTAAATTTCAGCACTTTGATAGATTATCTGAAGATCCAAAGGGCATATTCACAACCATTTGCTTGAAATCTTGTTTTCTACGTAAGTTCTTAAATGGTCAAATTCGGCCGAGACGTTTATCAACAACAATTAAGGGTCGAGAAGCTTCATGTAAGCTTACGTTTCCCTGGATCCGTTTCACTGACTCTTTCTAACTGTCGACACACACTCGAAGCGGAAACCGTTTTAAAAACTTATTTCATTTTGTACATTTTACGCAAAAGAATCTCGACATTTCGCTCCTTAGCAGTTTTGTCGATTATGACACAGGAAACCCATTGATTGATCGGGTGTCGGATAAAAGCTAGTAAAATACTCATGACGTAATGTCAAATGGCACATGGTCTAGTGGTAGTGTCTTTGCCGTTGGCGCGAGAGGTCCGGAGTTCGAGCCTCATCGAGGACATGAATTTCTTTCTCTTCGAAAAAAAAGAAAGAAACAGGTAGACCGTGAAGATGAATAATTAAAAATGAATAAGTCAAGATAGCAGTTACTAAGGCAACAACGCAGTTTACAGGAAAGTGAGTGAGTGAGTGAGTGACTTAGTGAGTGACAGATCGTTCTCCTACAATAACTCTTCGATTGCTAACGCAATCTCCCAATTAAAAACAAAATCGACGAGCGTATCTGGACCATTTTGAAAACATGCCCCAAATGTCGGCCCTGGACCCTCATGTTAATAATAATGCTTTGCGCAATACGGTGCTGAAATTAAAACAAGGATGGAAAGATGGGCAAAACTAATAAGACCGAGAATATTTTTAGGATGATTACCTTCGTGTTTCCGCTGCAGCATTAATCGCTCCTCACGAAGTTTCATCTCCTTTTCTGCGTAAGTAAAAATAAACAATAAGTCGTGATCAGCGTATACATTAAGTCACACAAAACAAAAAATAATACCATCTCACTAGCTTGCTTAACACCGCGTTCGATGATTTGAATATGCACGGGCAAACTTAGAAAATTTCATGGTTTATTTTTCGTATTAATACTTTGAACTCAATTTCTGAGAAATTACACCACAAGATTAACAGACTATTGAGAAGAGAGGTCGGCTCTAGATCTCCTATGGCGATTATCAGCCGAAAGCCGTTGAAATCCCTCTTCAAAATGAGGTCATTTTCAACCTCGAAATTTGTGTTATTTTTGGGAGTTTATATTCTGTTTTTTTTCAGTTTAGAAATAAACTTTAATTATTTCTTAGTGCGAATTTGTGGGCCCTACACTGGAGATCGCAATCATTTACCGATGAAAAACGCAAAACAATCTCGTACCCAGAGCACGCGTTACTTTTGGTCTGAGACCAATATTTTTTGTCGATCTTGCGCAGTAAGAGGGACAATGGCGCTGGGTACGAGATTGACGGCAAAAAGCACCACATAGGAGGTCTGGAGCCGACCTCTCTTCTCAATAGTCTTGTAGGCCTGTGATTACACTGTATATAGAAGCACACCACCCTTCTCTGGTTAGAAACTTCAAAGTGTTTTCGAACTATTCTCAGTTTATACTGTTTTAATTTTCCAGATAGGAGTTACTTAGATGCAAACTTGCTTGAATTAATTAAAGTATGATGCTTAGATTGTTAGGGTTCTTCTTGTCTCTGCAAAATTTCAAATTCACTTACTCACCTTTTTGTTTTACTTCGAATCGTTCTATCAATACTTGAATACTTTCTACAAAATTAATTATTAACAATTAATTAACAAGATTAATTTGTCGTAGAATTGTGGTTTCCTCGAATCGAATGCGATTTGGTTAATCGAAAGTGTATGTAACGAGCATTATGTATTTGTATGTGCACAAGGGAGCTTGACGTTTGCGCCATGTGAAATTAAAATAAGAGGTTAATCAATTCAGTTACCTTTTAATTCATGTCCATGCTCTGATTTCCTTTCTGTTTAAAATCAAAACAATTATTTTACCACGACGCGCGTCACATTAAATGATTAAATCATTTTAATGTTTTGAGACATTAAATGTTAAAGATTATGGTAATCAAGAAGGAAGAATGTCGGAAAGACAAAGCAAAGAACGTGAAATGAAAATGCAATTAGAGACAAATAACAGAAAAACACTGGAAAAAATCGCGCGCTTTAAAGGTTGTAAATTTGATGTAAATATGATGTAAGTGTCCAAAATTCTGTAAATTTTATGGAAATCATTTACATCAAATTTACAGAATTTTGGACATTTACATCATATTTACATCAAATTTACAACCTTTTAAAGCGCGCGATTTTTTCCAGTGAAACACTATAACTACTGACAATATTTGAAAACTATTACACAACCAAAGCCTGAAATTTGAGGAGATCAGGTTCAATCTCTTATTGTTTTTTAAAAGTGCTTCTGTCTCCCATTAATTAAATATGCCGTGACGTCATAAAGTAACGGCACAATTAATCAGATGAGGATATATGTTATTTAAAGGGACACTGTCAATGGATGACATGCGCAGYAACAGTCTCACCTCTAACGGACTTTGAAAGTATAACCTTCCAGGTAAATCATTTTGTGGTGCTTTTGACACWMTTTGGAATATTCTAGATCTGTTTACGTTTACGATCTGATTTATGTCGCGCCAACTTGGAGTCATAAACTTGAAAACACTAGCCTAGTGTTTTCAAGTTTACTTGCGCATGTCATCCATTGACAGTGTCCCTTTAAATGAAGCAGCCACAAAAAACATTAATAGCCGAGAAACATGAGATACAAAACACTCAACTCGTTGCGCAACATAGTGTTGCTTTTCAAGTTTGGTGTCCACGTTTTTCGTTTTTCACCATGTCCAGATCCTGCAACGTGTCACGCACCGAAAAACTGACCATAACAAGACCAATAAGAAACACTGAGCCCAAACCTGCACAGCAACAATGTTCCACGACAAATTGAGGGTATTTTTGTATCTCCGTTAGGACATTTAAAACTTTAGGCATGAAAAAAAGAATCCAATTCGTATATTAGACCCGCATATATTTCCGCGTAACATTCGGTCTGCAGCGAAAAATTTCGGGGGCTTTTGGAACATGATTGTAAATAATCGGCACTCTTTATTAAATGACGACATGTATATCGAATCAGCTGTAAAGCAGCATGATGGGTATCCAATCTGACTCAACTACTTACCAAAGATGCGAATCATGTTTGCCAACTCTTTCTTCAGCTTACTCAGCTCTTCCTTGATACCGCTGACGACTTCATCAAGGATAAACGGCTGATCACTCTCCGTACCCTTCACTTGAATATCTGACGTCAAAAATTCACGAATTATTTTAATACCAACTTGAAAGAAAATATTAAATTGTTTGAATACCACTTTTCTTCTAGTGTTTGTCATCTGATGATTGTCTAGTGATGTTTTTTTTAACCCTCCCTTGTATTTTTTTGTGTGTGCATGTTTATTGAAATAAAAAGGAAAAAAAAAACTCCAGTGAAATCCTGGATACATGTGTGTTTTTTGTTTTGTATTTTCATAAAGATATCTGGAGATTGTATAACTATTCCCATATATATAAAGAATACTTCTTACCATTGAATTGAAGCAGCACTCGATCCAGGGTGTCGACATGGCTATCTACTTGTGATTTTAGCTCTGTAACATCAGAAGCAGTCGGCAGATCTTCAGGTAGAAAACGTCGGACGTACTGTAGAAGTGACATGAAATGGTCCTTTACGCCGCTATACCACCATATTCTTACTAGTTCATCTTTGGTAATACGAGACACTATTGACAAAATGACCAGTAGCGCTTCAGATGAGAGTTTGTTACCAGGCTTCAGTTTATTTAATGCAGAAGACATCATGGCTATCATCGCTTCACAACTCAAATCGTAGGAGCCCAAAGCACGTCCTTTCTCAACTGAATCTACCATGGCTTCAAGATGTGACTGTAATCGTGAAGTAATATCAGAAGACTGTCGGAGTAGAGATGACATCGCAAGTATAATAGATACGGCGTCACTGAGTACTTCCCACTCGCCATGGTAAATAGCTCTTTCAGACACTAATTTCATCAGCTCGTCCAAACACGAAAGGACATGGTTCTGCAAATCACTGTTAAGATCAGTCCAACTAATCTTCTTCAAAATAGCTTCACTGGTGCAAAGTATACCTTTAAAAACGTCATTACTGATCTCAGGATGTTCAGATAAATGCCGAATTACAAGTTTAATCATACTTTCCAGATCTGACGTCACCTTGTTTTTAATACCATTATCAATGTTCTCCCATGGCAATTTTTGCAATACTTTAGTGTTTTCCTGCATCACTTGAATCAATTCATCAGTGCTCAGGTCAGGATGGCTAGCAAGTTGCTCAGCAACCAAAGTCGTCATAGTTACTATACTTGAGATCAGCTTCATTTTACTTCTTTTATCAAGGACATACCATGGTAGTTTCTCCAGTTCTTTAGTGTTTTCCTGCATAATTCGAATCAATTCATCAGTGCTCAGGTCAGGATGGGCAGCAAGTTGCCAGGTAACCCAAATCGTCATAGTTACTATACTTGAGATCAGCTTCATTTTACTTCCATCATCAAGTTCATACCATGGTAGTTTTTGCAATATCTTGGTATTTTCCTGCATCACTTGAATCAATACATCAGTGCTCAGGTCAGGATGTTTAGCAAACCGCTCAGCAACCGAAGTCGTCATAGCTTCTATGCCAGAGGTCACCTTCATTTTACTACCATCATCAAGGCCATTCCATGGTAGTTTTTGCAATGTATTTGTGTTTTCCTGCATTACTTGAATCAATACATCAGTGCTCAGGTCAGGATGTTTAAAAAGTTGCTCAGCAACCGATGTCATCATAGTTTCAATACCTGAGATCAACTTCAGTTTACTACCATCATCAAGGTGATACCATGGTTGTGATCCCAATACCTTTGCATTTAACTGCAACATTTGCATCAGAACATCAACATGTAGCTCAGGATGGCTGATTATTTTCTTTGACAACTCTGACATTAGCCTCTCAGCCAATTCCACTGTGTCTGGTGCTTTCTTGATTAGATCAGCTGTCAGCTGTTGAAAAACCTT